TTAACGTTGCAGATAAGCGATAAGGTCCGATAACACCACAAGGGGAGTTATTCCTGAATAGCGAACTTTCTCCTGGCGGGCCTCTGCCCTGTTAGTGCGAGCAATTGGCTCACAAAGTACAACGGTAAAACTGACTAACGCTATACACGGTGTCCCGACTATAGGCAACTGGTTGCCTAACGGCTCGTTCTTCCGGTCACAGCGTCTTCGTTATAAAAGTTTTTACGGACTGAGCCTTAGTCTGTGATGTATTAACACCATAATCAATCGACATGATGGGTGGCGGGTGCGCTGCTGCTGTGGTTCCGCTGTGTTGCATGTTGTGTTTCGCGCGGCGGCCGCGCGGCCGTCCGTGTTGCCCTGTTGTGTGTGCTGCTGCTGCGCGTGTTTGGATGCTGATGTCGTGTGGTGTGTCGTGTGTGTGTGTGTGTGTGCTCCGTGTGTGCATGTGTGCGCGCGTTGCTGTACCTGCTCGTGGGTCCGTGTGTGCATGTGCGCGCGCGCTGCGCGCGCGTGTCCTGTGTGTGTGTGTGTGTGTGTGTAGTCCGTTGTGTGCAATGTGTGCGCGCGTGTGTACCTTGTGTGTCCGTGTTGTGCATGTGCGCGCGCGCGTGTGTACCTGGTGTCGTGATCGTGTGCTTGCATGTGCGCCGCAGCCGCGTGTTACCTGTGTGGCCCGTGTGCATGTCGCGCGCCGCGTGTGTACCTGTGTGTCCGTGTGTGCATCGTGCCGCGCGCGTGCTGTACCTGTGTGTGTCCGTGTGTCTAGCTGCGCGACCTCGAGCGCGTGTACCTGTGTGCCGTGTTCCCGTTCGCACCTGTGCGCGCGCGTGTCGTACCTCGGTGTGTCCGTGTGTGCCATGTGCGCAGCAGGTTCGTGACCTGTGTGTTGCCGTGTGTGCATCGTGCGCGCAGCGCGGTGCCTACCTGTGTGGGCCCGTGTGGTGCATGGCTGTGTGTCCGTGTGTGCATGTGTGCCGCCCTGTGCGCATGCAGTCTCCGCCCTGCTCTACTATCCCATCACCTACTATCATAACAGGATCGAGTGAGTAAGAACAAATTTGTTTTTATTCATCCTGATAACATTTGCTCACACTCTCACGCGCCCTCTCACTATGCCTATACATGAAAAAAAACTCAGTACCGGGGACCCCGACCACGGAAAATATAGCGACACAAAGACGCTGCAGTGGCAAAACAATCACCAAGCTATCGCACCTCAGCATAAAGGAGTATTTTAACGTATTTTAACCGACGGAGCGCGCGCCAGTAACGCGCTGGTACAGATTCTGAGCGCTCAACTTCCATCGCTCTGTTTTTCTTCACACTCTTCTCCTCTCTACCTCTCTTTCTCTCTCTCTCTCTTCTCTTCTCTCGCTGTCCCTCTTCTCTCGTCTCCTCCTCTTTCTCTTCTTCGCTCTCTCCTCTCTCTCTCTCTCTCCTCTCTTTCTTTCTCTTTCTCTCTCTCTTTCTCACTCTCTCCCGCCCACCGTAATTAGCAAGTAACGTATCACCGCACATACTCGCATAACCTGTTGCCAGAGCGAGCTCCAGTTTTCATCGGACCCCCTTCCCACACAACACACCGCACACACACACGCCACACACACCCCACACACACACAGCACACACAACACCACACCCACACCACAAACAGGCCCACACCCACACAACACCACACCACGCACACACGCACACACGCACACACGCACACACACATACACGCACACACACGCACACACCACACGCACACAAAACTCTCACAAAGACTCACTTGAGTGTCACGCTAGCATTAGGTGCAGTGACACAGCTCTATTTGCAGTAGACTCGGGAAGTGATCATCTGCAAAGGCTGCGCGAAGGCGCCTTTATTTATTTACATTTTTTAAGTTCCGTGATTTATGACGGTACGCTTGTGTAAATGAATTCGTCATCAGTGAAATATGCTTTGGTCGGATGCAATGCTTTGATACCCGGCGTTTGCGATCACTCTCATGTGTACTGATTGATCCCTTTGATGTGAAGGTAATTATTTTCCAACGCTTCCCACGCTTAAAACCGGACTAACGCCAGCCATCCGCCATTATGTTACATGCTTTACTGTAATTTATGAATGATGCTCAAGTAAGCTGTATGCATGGGCGTGAATGCCATGGTGACACGGAGGACACGCCCTCCCCCCGGCCCCCACTTTTCGAAGGGTGGGGACACAATATCAAATGCCCCCCCAGGTACTTGTAATATGTAAGGCTAGTACGCGCGCGCTCGCTAGCTCTCCAGTAGCTATTGATATCTGTGGTAGATATGTACATTCGTATATGTATTATATTATATACATATCGTAGGATATTACGTACTATTATTTAGGTCGTACTGCACGCCTGAAACGGTGCTCGCGCATGCGCAATATCTCCCGAAAAGAAGAATATTTTGCAAAAAATATAAATTTAAAATGAAGAGGAGTCATCCTAGCATAAATTGAGATGACAAAATTCTATCAGTAGACCTCAATTCAGAAATAGGAAGCAAACCTTGCATGTAAGGTCCTCGTTGCATATACAAGTCAGTATAACCTAAATACGCTACTGTTTTAGCGCATGCGCAATATCTCACCAGAGGAGTTAGATTTTGTGATTAAAAGTGCATTTAGTATGATCAGGGGGTATCTCGGCAGAGGTTTCAGTAATAAATTATTATCAGTAGACCTGTGTTTATAACCACGAGAGCGCCCTAGCCTGTAGGGTGCAAAACTGCTACTTCATCCACTCCCGCCCTTTCCCTTGTTTCCCTTCTCGCACGCTCAGCATCCTTCTTCTTCCACCGCCTCTCAGCTATCTTCACTGTCGCCTTCCTTCAGTCTCCCAGCCCTCTCTACCTGAGCAAGCTATATTAGGTATTTTTCATTAGGCCGTCCTGCACGCCTGAAACGGTGCTCGCGCATACGCAATATCTCCCGAGATGACTCATATTTTGCAAAAATTATGAATTTCTAATGAAGAGGGGGGTTATTCTAGCATAGATTTTTACGATGACATTTTTATCAGTAGACCTCAGTTCAGAAATAGGAAGCAGACATTGCATGTAAGGTCTCCGCTGCATATACCAGTCACTAGTTAACATGGCTACTTTCCTATTTTAGCGCATGCGCAATATCTCACCAGAGGAGTTAGATTTTGGGTTAATATGCATTTAGTATGGTCAGGGGGTATCTCAGCAGAGGTTTCTGTAATAAATTCTTATCAGTAGACTTGTGCTTATAATTAGGAGAGCTTATAACTAGCCTGTAGGGTGCCAAACTCCTATTTCATCCCCACCAGCCCTTTTTCTTGTATCCCTTGTCGCACGCTCAGGCTCCTCCCTCTTCCGCCGCCCCTCAGCTATTTTCCCTACTGTCTTTCTTCCGTCTCCCACCCCTCTCTCCCGCAGCAAGCTAAATTACGTACTTTTATTTAGGCCGTACTGCAAGCCTGAAACGGTGCTCGCGCATGCGCAATATCTCCCGAGAAGCAGAATATACTGCAAAAATTATGAATTTAAAATGAAGAGGGGTCATCGTAGCATAGATTTATATGATAAAATTTCATCAGTAGAACTCAATTCAGAAACAGGAAGCAGACCTTGCATGTAATGTCCCCGCTGCATATACTAGTCAGTGTATAACCTGAATACGCTACTGTTTTAGCGCATGCGCAATATCTCATCAGAGGAGTTAGATTTTGGGATTAAAATGCATTTAGTATGGTCAGGGGGTATCTCAGCAGAGGTTTCTGTAATAAATTCTTATCGGTAGACTTGTGCGTATAATTAGAACAGCGCCCTAGCCTGTATAGGGTGCAAAACTCCTACTTCATCTACGCCCGCTCTTTCCCTTGTCTCCCTTCTCGCACGCTCAGCCTCGTCCTTCTTCCACCGCACCTCAGCTATCTCCCCTGCCGAATTCCTTCAGTCTCCCACCCCTCTCTTCCTCAGCAAGCTATATTTGCGTACTTTTCCTTTGGCCGTACTGCACGTCTGAAACGGTACTCGCGCATGCGCAATATCTCCCGAGAAAAATAATATTTTGCAAACATTATGAATTTAAAATGAAGAGGGGTTATCCTAGCATAGATGTATATGATGAAATTTTATCAGTATACCTCACTCCAGAAATAGAAAGCAAACCTTGCATGTAAGG